GGGGGGGGGGGGGGGTAATGAAAGTGTTTCAAAACACGACATTAATTTCTTGACGACCTAATACATTTATTTGTAGTTTTGTGAGAAAATTATTGTGTTGAGTACATGATTATAACTCCATATGTATTTATGAAATCAGGCAATATTCATTCAGATGATATTTAAATTGGGTTAGGAAGCAAACTGCAATTTCAGTGGTTAGCATAAGGAACCGTTCTTCCATCTTTACTCTTTGAGCAGACTTGGGCTCTGTTAAGGCAACTAAACACTGGTGGGAAGACATCACATTCCCAAAATGGCAACTAGACAGCGTTTAAAGAATTACTGCAACACCAGCACATGTTAAACCTAGAGCTCGGAAGTCTCAAGTGCTGGCTTGATGAAACCTGCTGTGTTGTATATTCAAAAATACTGGGCCGGCAACTGTCAAACAAAGTACTTTCAACCCAAAGTTCTTGACTGAACTCTAGATACTCCTGTTGCTGAACACCCTACACGTTTGTGAACTTGTCAGTTGAGTCTTGAGGAACGTGTGTCAATATATTACATTCACAAATTACTACTGTGAACTGTTACGTATACTTAAATACCTTCTGCTTACTGTAATTATTGATGCTAGACGACACTATGGGTAATAATTAGCTACGTTTCATTGAAGTATCTGTCTCCTCAGTTGTTGTTGGTTTGAACGTTATGCAACTACTGTGGCATGTAGACATACCATGCATTTTCTTATTTTAATGTAGAAATTCTCAAAAAAAATTTCTTCATCTAAATCTATGCAGTTTTTGCATAGCACGTGGTCCAGAAAAACATTAAGTTGTCTTTTGTTCTAGCTGCTTTTGTTATTATCTTGAGATAATATTTGCACTGCTCATAAGCAGTATTGCTGTAATGCTGCATGGTGTGCAAGAAGGTCAATGTCAGCAATGTCCTTCACTAGTAGAACGGGTGATATCTAGAGATTATGGCTTCCCTTATGTTGAATGAGAATTACTAGTTGTGTGGGTAGTTCTAGTTGCTGTGCTAAACCTGACATTTCCCATTAAGTAATAAACATATGATTTAAACAATATTACACAGGATCTCAAGTGAGTCAATTGACAGGAAAACATCTTGAGGGAACAAAATTCACAAGTCCAATGTTTTAACACAAGTACACACAATGTCTATACACTGAATTAAATAAAGACTGCTTTCATTCTGTATAACACATAGTGGCCATTCTGTGTATTTCTTTAATTGAATGCTGTTAGCTTAGTTAAATTCAGACTTACTGGTACACTATCAACTACGGTAGTACTTATTAGTAGGGATCGTGAGGAAACAAAATGGCGGCCATAAATATCGCCCATTTAAAACCACATTTGAAATGTCTGAATACTAACAATGACTATTTTACAGTATTGGCTGAGCAAAACTAAAGCTTATTCTAGTTATAAAGCCGCCTAAATCGCTATATACGTATTTGTGGAATGAATCAAAATTTCATTATTTCAACGAATTTTCATCTAAGAAAGTGACTTTTCCAGACGATCGTACAGAAAAAATGACGAACTTTATCGCTCTAATTCTTTCACAGAACTCTTCCGTCTGCGAACGATGCGCTACTTTGGGCACATAACCAGATTTGATGGTAGGTTGGAAGAGATCCTGATGTATAATAAAATCGAATCGGGTATACGCACGTCAAACGCCTGGTATTGCTGGCACACAAAAATATAGCTAATAAAAAGGAAACAAAAATAGTGTAATAAATTTTTTTATAAAGACAAGTAGAATCGATATATACGTAATTTAGATAGCTAGAGTAATATAGAAAGTTTTAATGCTGCAAAAAATATTGAAACAATAAATTTAAAACTAGAAAAACTGAGTAATTTATAATTTGTTTTTATCCCTACTGTAGCTCAGACTAATATAATTAGTCATTTGCCAAAGGAAGTATAAAGATTTATAAAATTATAAAAAAGTAACTCAGTTTTGAACTTCTTGTTTCAGTACTTTTTGTAGCATTAAAAATTTCTAAATTAGTATAGCTAGCTAGGTTACGTATATAGCGACCCCTACTTGTCTTTATAAGATTTAAATTTATTATATTTATATATAGTTATTCATGTATGTTTGGATCTTTTTTTAACTGAATGTACAAAAGTCATAAATTAGTACCATATCTCTTATTTTATTTCATACATATTATACCCGTTTCACTCTATTTCATTGACAGTCCCGTGCAGTGAAATTATACTCGTTGCAAAAAACGGTACAAAGAAGTTTACAAATTAGTATGAGTTTATAGTTTCTTGCCCTTGAATATAATTATTTAGAATGGTCATTAACATGGGTTTAGTTTGTTATGAATTTCACGCAAAGCTACACGAGGGCTATCTCCGCTAGCCGTCCCTAATTTAGCAGTGCAAGACTAGAGGGAAGGCAGCTAGTCATCACCGCCTACTCTTTTACAAACGAATAGTGGGATTGACCATCACTATATAACGCCCCCACGACTGAAAGGGCGAGCATGTTTGGTGTGACGGGGATTCGAACCCGCGGATTACGAGTCGAGCGCCCTAACCACCGGACCTTAACATAGGTAATCTAAAGATTATAAGAAACCAAACTAGGACTGTTGTTTCATAAATGTGGGGGTTTCTACAAAATTTGCCTTTCTTGATTCTGTCCTCTTTTGTGCAAACATCGTTTGAAATATTTCTTTCTACCAAAGTAGCCAATTACAGTCATACCAGGAGAAAGACTGGTCAGTGTATGAATAGTGTTTGCTTAAGTATGTCATTTGTTTTCCTTTCATGTACGTATTGTTTATTTTTACAAGACATTTCTGAAACCTGTGTGTTGCAGATACTTATCTGTTGGACATCAGCGAATCTGAATACCATATTAAGTCAAAATTATGATTGATGAGGTTGAGCAGTCAGTTGTGTGCTGTATAAAATACAAACCTTGTTTATTGTTACGTTAAATAACAATTACTTGTAAGGTGAAGATAATATTCAGTGTAAGATTAAGTAAAGGTCAGTTGCATGGTAAGTTAATTAAGAGAGAGGTTTGTGCTAGATCAACATTGTTAATTAAGTATGAATATTTAATAGTTGTAGCAGAAAAAAAACAACATTAAATTAGAAAATTTTTGTTAGAGATACTATTTAACCACTGCAGTACAGCAACCGCCATTAGCTTACGTTCTTACAACAGTTAATGAAGCTGTATCAGTTCCCGATATAGCGTAACATTTTGGAATTCTTACGTACTACGATAACTTTAGAAAACAGAATCGAAACCACAACAGCAAGAAGCTGTGTAGAAAATGTTATGCAGAGTCAAAACTGGATTTATACTTGACTGAACTGAAACAGGAGAGTGAACACACAGTACAATTCAGGCAGACATGTTCCCAAGACAACAGCTAGCTCTTCTTGTGTTGTTTTTGTACTACGAACCTTTTTGTTTTAAAAACTTTTTCCACACTAAAAGAGCATATCCAAGGTTTTACTATGCCATCCCTCTCATTCCACAGGTTTGGTCATTACAACAGAAAAAATAAGGTAGGATATCTTCAAGCTTCACCTCACTTTCCACTAGAAAAGATTACAGTTCTTCTTTACATGGTGTATTCAGCTACACCTTCCTTTAATGAACTTTCTCAATAGAAAACACGTATGCCCAGAACAATAGGTGATTAAAGCACAAGCAGTTTAGTCTGGTTCCAGGAAAAAGATTCTATTGTCTAAACTACATACACTCCAAAAATATCTGTATGTGAGGAACTTTGAAAATTCTCTGTGAATCCAAAATGTAGTAAGAAAAAGAAATACACAATATATTCTTCAATGTTACATTTTTTTAAAAGTTGATTTAAGGAGATCATCCCTACCTTTAAACTTTAAAAAACAAACTAAAAAACTGTCTGTTGATCATAAAGTTGGCTAAGCTACTTTTACTGCTGTCTTGAACAGCACTACTTGTCAAATGTGTTTGTGATCTGCCTTTTTATGAAGAAAGTCTGAACTTCATGCTACCCATAAATTTAGCAGAAGGTCAATGAAAATTATGATATATACAATGGAATAGTTGTGGATGAGTTTTGGTGTAGACATTTGTTGTTTGCTATAGTAAGTGTTGATTTGTTTATATATGATATTTTAGGGTTAACCATTTTTTTGGTAATGGTGTGGATGTTTGAATGCAAGCAATAAAAACCAACCCAATAACATTTAAACCTGTACTAGTCTCCAAACTATGTTTGAGCTAGTGTATAACAATATTTTTGTAATGTGTTTATTGATGCACAAATGCCTTGAAGTATAATTGAACTTCATCACCAAACACTATACTAAAATATTTATATACTGTGAAACAAACTGTCAGGTAAATGAAAACCAATGGATGAAATCTAACAAACTGTCCATACCATTTATCAAGCTTTATCATGCGTGACATAAATACCATTATCCTTTGGAATATTTTTTTCTAAACTATTTACTTACCAAACTGCTTGGAATCCATGATTTTGTTTGGTACTTAAGTTTTCAACAAAAATACCATCAATATTGAAATTAAACCCACTAATTACTGTTGGGATTTCCTAGATGAATAACCTCACCCAATTCATTTGTTAGTTCTTTATACGAGTGTTGTAACAAAAACGTAAGTTCTCAATATGATGCAATATGTGCACATCACTGGTATTGAACAGTAGTTCATCTCCATTAAAAGTAAAACACAACAGATAAATTGTGACAGTATTTTTTTACTAGTATAACATAAACATCTTTAATATTATTATAAGCACCAAGAACAGTTTACAACTTTGCATTAAAAAAAATCATAACATCAACAAAATATTAACTAAATGTATTTTCTTCTAGGTTCTAAAATGTCTACAGTTTTCTAGTACTGTTAGGATATAACAGCATAAAAATGAAATAAAACATCTCAATACTTATTTCTGAACAAAAAACAAATATATTGTAAATTTAAATTGAATGTAGCCATACCAATTTCAAACTAAATCAACCTCTTGAACAAGATTAGATTCAGCAATTTTAAAGTGCTACAGACAAATATTTGAGAGCTTGTGTTCTCAGCAAAAGTAGATCTAGTGTGACATTTCATTTTCTTTAAAACACTTCAAGAACATACAAGATTTAAAATGTCAATTTACAAAGTATAAATCTAACTTGTATGGCTTTGAAAGTATGATGTACTTTACTGATAATTAATAATGCAAATAACATTAAACAGAATAAAAAATCTTTTAAAATTGTGTGATTTTTATGTAGCCAGCAGGTATAGTTTTAATTTAAAATAGTTTTGTTTCCCACACATGTGCCAAAAATATCGTGCTGGTCATATAATTGATGAAAGGTACATATTTTTTATTTTTTTCCCCACACATGCACAAAAAATAAATAAATTGTGCTGGTCATATCATTGACGAAAGATACATAAAAGGTATTAAAGTAATTTCCAGAAAACATGGGAAACAGTTTTCAAAGGGGCTGCCAGGTAATTTTTCTTGACCTCTGAGAAATAACCAAATCCTTTTGCCATTTATAATTGATCGTAACTTTGCTATGACTTTATATTTCTTTATTCTGGAAATCCTAAAAGAAATGTTTCCATACTTTTAAGATTGAATCAGTGAATTATATGAATCTGATTAACACAAATAAGAAACTTCTACTATAAGGCAGTGGTGGTGAGCAACCTGCAGGTTGCATGAGACCACCACATCCTAAAATACATCATCATCAAAACAAAACTACTTGCAAGAACTAATGCTATCTGGAGGTGATGACAGCAGCCTGATTGCAGGTGCATTAATGCTAAAAAATCAAAATGTAAACTGTACTATTTGAAATTGTCAGGAGAGAGAGTAAACTTGGTTTATTTTGTGTTGAAGTGGTCAGTTTATTTAGTACAATTTTAATATGTTTCACATACAGCTAATTTTTATTCAATTGTATCATTTTTAGCTGAAGACTGGTAAAGGGGAGAGGTCTTGCAGCCCTTAAAAGTGTTTGAGAGCCACTTTTATGGTCTGTGGATTAGTTAAGGTTACCCACTACTGCTATATCAACTTAAGTCATAAAATCAAACAAATCATGAACACTGATGTACACTAGGAACAAGAATATTTAATGATGCATTTTCTTTAATTCACTAAAACGTTAAAGGTCTTATTATAAGTGTGACAAAATGAGAAAAATTGATCACAGATACCTAATAAAAAAAAATTAACACATCAAAACTGATTTTGTGATATCTTTCCTTCAAACCATAATAATATAATAACTAGAAAGTTCTCTTAATGCACTAAGAACCTGAACTAAGACTTTGATGTTAACATTTAAACTAATAAGGTTGAAAAACCACCAAGACCTTTTTTTTTCAGTATTTTGAATCTGATAGAAAACTTTCTTCAAATCTAATAAACTGACATGGAAGACAAACAGTAATACTAAAAATCTAAGTACATTTTGTTGAAAACTAATAAATTAAGACATTTTACCAAAGAAAATAGATACTGTAAACCTCTTTCTTCAAATCTAGTAAAATGAAATTGTACACATACCCCATACAAATGATCAAATTATACACTTTATGCAAAAATACTTAAACTAATAGCTAGTAAAAGCTGAAGTGCTCTTTCTCTTTACTTCTATAATCTGGAACTATTTTTCTGTAACCCTAAACACTTCACAAACTTTTGTTCTTTGATTATAATTTCTTGAATTTAAAATTGAAATTCTGTTAATGGTTTATTTAATGCTTACATGTAATATGATGTCAGTTTTAGTTCTTGATTTTGTGACAATTTAATTGGAAGACAAACTGTGTAGCAAATATTAAAAAAAGCAATAAAAGATATTTAAATAAAATACTCATGAACTTAAAGTAGTTTTTATGAGTTAACAATGATTTTAAACCTATGAATTTACAAGCTAGAAATAACAATTAAACAAAAGTTATGTCAATATTAAAATTGTAGAAAAAATGTGTAAAGTTTCTACTTGGAGATAACAAGTTTATTATTATTATTAAAAGTATAACACTTTATATATAAAAAGGGTATCAAGAACACCAAAGTTATTATTCTATTAAAAATAATCCAATGGAAAATGCCAATATTTTTTATATATGCCAATTTTTCTGAGAGGAGTTCCCAAACCTAATTCACTTGAATTTTTAAAAGCTGCAGAAAAATCCTAACTTAGTAGTTACAAGTAGATCATTCAGTGTATGATATATAAGAAATAACAGCTACTCTTAAAATGTTCACTATATATTAATGTATTTATGTTGGTCAAGGAATAAAAACCAATTTTAAGAAACATATAATAAAACCTCAATATAAGCTTTAACCAGGAAATAAAATATTAAAATAAAAAACAACAAAGGACACTTTCATAAGTAATTCCACACATAACTATTGGTGATAGACACTAAATAAGCAATCGTAAAGGAAACAGTACTATGGACACTATATAAACATTGCACAAAATACAGTTACAGAAAGTTAGGGTTGTGACAAAAATTGAAAGAAAAGTTAATGAGAATCTAAAGGGTTAAAATATTATTGCAAGAAAACTTGATGCAAGCATTCCAGCTGTTCCACTGGTGCAGCTGAATAAGATATTTAACCAAAAGTTGCACAGAAAAATTATAGACTCTTCACATTGTAATCATAACTTCAAGAACTTCATCAGAGAAATGCTAAAATTACAAAAATAAAAAATCAGGACATGTCACACACACTAAAATACACTATTTACCACTGTAACTTTTGTAGTCAGTAAAATTGCATGTCAATTGTAGCTATTAGCAACTGCTTATCAAACAAACACATTTTCTTTAAATAATCAATTAAATGAAACAGTAATATTTGCAATAAAACATCATAAGGAAAATTCCTGCAAAGGTTGCATAAAAGCCAGTTATTAAATTGTTTAATCAAATATTAACATGAAACATCAGTTACCTTACCACTTCCTGTTATGTATCACTACAAAATCATGTACATCATAGAAATTCAAGAAACTTTCACAGTCTGAGAAAGGACATAGAACAAAACTGCAATAAGGGAAGAATTCCATAAATATTTGTTGCAAAACTTTAGAACCAATTTAAAGAAAATCTGTTTAAAACTCAAAGACAACTGCAACAAACACTTGTACCTAATTTTAACATCAATATGTTACAACTGTTTTTAGAACATTAAAAATATTTACAAATTTATAAAACAAGATGAATTTATTGAAAACAAGTCAACTAATTTAGTGATCTAGTTTAGTTCATACCTCGAAAAGCATAAAAGTTTCAGACTAAACTATCAATTACAGTGGTGATTCTGAGAAAGGCAACATTAGTGCTCTACACTATGAACACTTTATTAACAATAATAAAGATATCTGATGAAGCCACACTGCTGTGAAACTTGTAACAAATTTGTTATTATATATTTATTATAATATCAATGTTTATTTAGATTAAGTTTATATTTTAAAACATAGCTTATCCAGATATGTATTGGGAAACTCCCACCTATTTTCCAAAATTGTAGAAGATTCTCAAGAGTAAGAATCAACAATATATGTGTGTAAGTAAAAGCTTTAATTTGTATTGTTACGTAAAATTGAAATTTCTAGAAAGCCGCTACACGTGTATAAGTATAGCCAACATGAAACACCAAAAGAGAGTATCTATTGTTAGTTCGCTACAGTCAGTGTGCTATAAACTTTGGAAGCTATAACTGTTATTGTTATAATGCTTATCAATTGGAAAACTTCAGATAATTGACCAGGAGCACTTACAAAATTCGAACATTACAACTCATTTAACTTCAGTGGATTCTCATCGGACATTAGTATTTTTATGAAAACATTACCTAACGTC